AGAGGTCGCCGCTGGAGGAATTTTAGGGACCAACTAATCTATTTATCCAGTATTTGGCCTTTGCCAGACATACTAATTATCCATGCTGGGGCAAATGACATTGGAAGGATTAGGACATGGGATCTTCTTTGTGAAATGCAAAGAAACTTACGTTTTTGTAAGCTTTTATTTCCTCATACTGTCTAGGCATATTCTGAGATGGTTCCCAGGCTTTTATGGTCTCCTTTGGGTAAGCTTTATTATATTGATAGAATTCTTAGATGTCTTAATAGGACAAACCATAATTTCTTGATTCCTTATGGCGGATTTTCATACCGTCATATTGAACTTGAAGGTTTTTTGCCTGGCATTTTCCGTAATGACTTAGTTCCCCTGTCAGACATCGGCCTTGACATATTCAATACTGGCTTACAAAACATCATTAATTTGGCCATGGTGTTGGTGGGTCCTCAGCCAGCTATTTCCTCACTGGTTGAGGTTGGTGGGGTTTAGTCGTCCAGTTTATCTGGACGGACATTGTGACTGAGTTTTTGTTTATTCTTAATGGTTTAGCCAAAAAGAGCTATATATACAGTCAGGTCCATAAATATTGGGACATGGGCACAATTCTAACATTTTTGGCTCTATACACCACCACAATGGATTTGAAATGAAACAAACAAGATGTGTTTTTTAACTGCAGACTGTGAGCTTTAATTTGAGGGTATTTACATCCAAATCAGGTGAACGGTGTAGGAATTACAACAGTTTGCATGTGTGCCTCCCACTTGTTAAGGGACCAAAAGTAATGGGACAATTGGCTTCTCAGCTGTTCCATGGCCAGGTGTGTGTTATTCCCTCATTATCCCAATTACAATGAGCAGATAAAAGGTCCAGAGTTAATTTCAAGTGTGCTATTTGCATTTGGAATCTGTTGCTGTCAACTCTCAGATCTCAGATGAGATCCAAAGAGCTGTCACTATCAGTGAAGCAAGCCATCATTAGGCTGAAAAAAACAAAACAAACCCATCAGAGAGATAACAAAAACATTAGGCGTGGCCAAAACAAATGTTTGGAACATTCTTAAAAAGAAGGAACGCACCAGTGAGTTCAGCAACACCAAAAGACCCGGAAGACCACGGAAAACAACTGTGGTGGATGACCGAAGAATTCTTTCCCTGGTGAAGAAAACACCCTTCACAACAGTTGGCCAGATCAAGAACACTCTCCAGGAGGTAGGTGTATGTGTGTCAAAGTCAACAATCAAGAGAAGACTTCACCAGAGTGAATATAGAGGGTTCACCACAAGTTGTAAACCATTGGTGAGCCTCAAAAACAGGAAGGCCAGATTAGAGTTTGCCAAACGACATCTAAAAAAGCCTTCTCAGTTCTGGAACAACATCCTATGGACAGATGAGACCAAGATCAACTTGTACCAGAGTGATGGGAAGAGAAGAGTATGGAGAAGGAAAGGAACTGCTCATGATCCCAAGCATACCACCTCATCAGTGAAGCATGGTGGTGGTGGTAGTGTCATGGTGTGGGCATGTATGGCTGCCAATGGAACTGCTTCTCTTGTATTTATTGATGATGTGACTGCTGACAAAAGCAGCAGGATGAATTCTGAAGTGTTTCGGGCAATATTATCTGCTCATATTCAGCCAAATGCTTCAGAACTCATTGGACGCCGCTTCACAGTGCAGATGGACAATGACCCAAAGTATACTGCAAAAGCAACCAAAGAGTTTTTTAAGGGAATGAAGTGGAATGTTATGCAATGGCCAAGTCAATCACCTGACCTGAATCCGATTGAGCATGCATTTCACTTGCTGAAGACAAAACTGAAGGGAAAATGCCCCAAGAACAAGCAGGAACTGAAGACAGTTGCAGTAGAGGCCTGGCAGAGCATCACCAGGGATGAAACCCAGCGTCTGGTGATGTCTATGCATTCCACACTTCAGGCTGTAATTGACTGCAAAGGATTTGCAACCAAGTATTAAAAAGTGAAAGTTTGATTTATGATTATTATTCTGTCCCATTACTTTTGGTCCCTTAGCAAGTGGGAGGCACATATGCAAACTGTTGTAATTCCTACACCGTTCACCTGATTTGGATGTAAATACCCTCAAATTAAAGCTGACAGTCTGCAGTTAAAGCACATCTTGTTTGATTCACTTCAAATCCATTGTGGTGGTGTATAGAGTCAAAAATGTTAGAATTGTGTCCATGTCCCAATATTTATGGACCTGACTATATATATATATATATATATATATATATATATATATATATATAGATATACATGTTAAGTAATTTGTTTAATTGAGGTTACCCTTTAAATAGCACCATGGACAAATATTTTCTAATAAAGAACGTTGTATTTGGATATTATTGTATATAAAACTCCTTTGTGCTATCCCATGGGAGTGGGGGAGTAGGTTTTGCCTGAACTTCCACTTTAATGACTACAGTAGACTTATAGGGGAAATTACAGTGCATTAAGAACGCTTGTACCACTCTTTTAACTTTGATAACCAAGCAGATGCTGTTCCTAATTAACAAATTGGGAGCAAGCCCCTTTGTTAATTAGGACTACCTGCTCCCTGGTCTATGCTGTGACAGACACAGAACAATACAGATGGAGCTGCATGTTCCTGATTCTTCTGTCCATCCATCCCCATTTTGCACCACACACTCAGCTGAATGTGAAAGGGATGTGAGCTGTTTGCAGACAGTTCATATCCTGTACACCAGACCTGAAGGAGATCGAAGTTAGTTTTCTGTACTGAAAACTGCAGCAATCCCTTTGTTAATTTGAAGCAGACTTGCGCCGGTTTCTATTTCACTTTGAAACAGAAACTGGTGTCAGTGGCCCGTACAATGTATATATTTTTTAAGTTAAATGAGAAAAATCCAATCATTCACTCCGACTGTGCTATTGTGTTCTCAGGGCAAGGAGCCTTCCCCATATAGAATGTTGTGGTGGCACTGATCTTTAGGGAAAAATCAGGGTGGTTGAACAGTATCAACCAGGGTGCCCGACATCACCGCTACCTCTGCCCAATTGTCAGCCCTGCCATCAACTATTGGCCTAGCATCACATCACCGCTGACATCACTGCTAGCTCCGGTCAATTGTTTACATCTGACCGTCAAATGTCAGATTGTGGTGAGTCCTCGGCGGGGTGTGGACTGGTCAGCGGGGTATCGTTTTTGTTTTCCATTTCAGCGATTCGCCATCATCGTGGCAATGCTGGACACCATGATTGTTAATGGAATACAACGATGGAACCTTTTTTTTTTTGCCTTTTTGTAAAATAAAGGACTTGTCAAAAACTGTTGTTTTGTTTTATGTTTAATAAAGGAATTTTTTCAAAAGACTGGTCTCTTTATTTTTTTTCTCAATTTAACCCTTTAGTAAATGGGTAGGGTACAAGTACCCCCTTACTCATTCACAAGGGATGGGGGGGGAGCATCAGGGTGCTCTCTTATTTAAAAGGGTACCCTGATGCTAATGAGCTCCCCTGCCCGCAGACCCCCACAACCACCGGACCAAGGTTTTGGGGAAGAGGCCCTTGGCCCTATCGACATGGGGACACCATCCCCATGCCCAGGGCACGTGGCCTGGTAACAGGGGGCTGGGGGAGCTCAATATTCCCTCCCTCTTTCCTGCCCTGCCAGCTTTGTGATCGGATCAAGGGTCTAGTAGGAATTTAGGAGGGATCCTACACTTTTTCCCGCCTAAAGGGCCTGGTTTGGCTTTTAAGGGAAACCCCACACACTTTTTCCAATCATTTTTGGGAGGTGGGGTTCTCTTTAAAACTCCTACCAGGCCTAAAGAGCCTAGTATGGACTTTTTAGGGGGAACCCCACACACACTTTTTAAAAACATTTTTTACTGTGGGTTTCTCCTAACCTAAAGGGTCTGTTATGGTGGTATGGATTGGGAAGGGAACCCACGCTGCTTTTTTTTTTTTTTAACCACTTGCTTACAGGGCACTCTCACCCCCTTCCTGCCCAGGCCAATTTTAAGCTTTCAGCACTGTCGCACTTTGAATGCAACACTGTACTCATATGACATTTTTATCATTTTTTTTAGACAGATACAGCTTTCTTTTAGTGGCATTTAATCACCTCTGGGTTTTTATTTTTTGCTAAACAAACTAAAAAAGACTGAAAATTTTGAAAAAAAAGTTTTTTCTTAGTTTCTGTTATAATATTTTGTAAATAAGTAATTTTTTCTCCTTCACTGATGTCCGCTAATGAGGTTGCAGTGATGGGCACTGATAGGCAGCACTGATGGGCACTAATGAGGAGGCACTGCTAGGTGGCACTGATGGGCATTGACAGGCATCACTTTACCTTTTTTTTTTTTTTTTTAAACAACTATGTTATACTTACCTGCTGTGTGCAGTACTTTTGCACAGAGCAGTAACAATCCTCTTCTCGGATCTCCTGCAGGCCATCCTGTCAGGTGCCCCCACAGCAAGCAGCTTGCTATGTGGGCACCGACTGCTCCGTGTGGAGCAGCGGCTTGGTCCCCCCCCTTCCTTATTGGCTGACTGGCTGTGACCGACAGCAGTGGGAGCCAATGCCAGAGTAGGCAGAGACCCGGGACAGCTGAGGCTGTCAATCACATCGCTGAATCTCAATGAGGCTCAGGTAGGTACTGAGGGGTCTAGGGACACTGCTGCCTGCTGCACACAGAAGGGTTTTTTCACCTTCATGCATAGAATACATGAAGGTAAAAAACCTTCAGCCTTTACAACCACATTAACTGCCTCCCGCCCACCATGTAGTAATATGACGGACGCAAGGTGGTTCTCTAGTTCTGGGAGGACGTCATATGATATCCTCTCCAATTCTAACCCGCGCATGCGAGGCTCCCGAAGCGCAGCGATCAGCGGTGCACTGTGTCCCTCGGACACAGCGGATCACCGATCCACGGAAAGAGCCAAAGATGTCGGCTCGGTCATGTGATCAGCTGTGTCCAATGTCGGCTCGGTCATGTGATCAGCTGTGTCCAATCACAGCTGATCACATGTAAACAGGGAAATGCCGGTTATCGGCATTTCTCTCCTCACGAGCTGTCATGCTGACAGCTCGTGAGGAGAGGAGAGCCGGTAATCGGCATTCCTCGGAGGGGACATGTACACTGATCATCAGGGCAATGATGATCAGTGTGCCCTGATGATCTGTGTAGCCCCAGCAGCGCCAACTGTCAGTGTCCATCAGTGCCAGCTCTCAGTGCTCATCCATGCCACCTGCCAGTGCCCATCAGTGCCACATTTCAGTGCCCATCAATGCCACATATCAGTGTCCATCTGAGCTGCCTTTCAGTGTCACCCATCGGTGCCAGTCAGTGCCACCTATCAATGCCAGTCAGTGCCACCTATCAGTGCTGCCAATCAGTGCCACCTATCAGTGCCGCCTATCAGTGCCACCTAACAGTGCCAGTCAGTGCCGCCTAACAGTGCCACCTATCAGTGCCATATATGAGTGCTGCCTTTCAGTGCCCATCAGTGATGCCTGTTTTTTTTTCAAACTTTTCAGTGGTTTTTGGTTTGTTTAAGAAAAAATGAAAAACTCAGAGGTGATTAAATACCACCAAAATAAAGCTCTATCTGTCACAAAAAAAATTATAAAAATTTCATATGGGTACAGTGTTGCATGACCACGCAATTGTCATTCAAAGTGCAACAGCGCTGAAAGCTGGAAATTGGCCTGGGCAGGAAAGGGGTATAAGTGCCCGGTAGGCTAGTGGTTAATGGAGAGAATGCATGAAGGTTAAAAAAAACCGTCTGCCTTAAATAGCTTTCCAGCAGGGGGAGAACTAGCATGCCTAAACATACGAATGAGCAGAGCTTCTTTACACAGGGATGTAATAATTTACTTATTTTATACAAAGGATCATGCTGCCTACAATCATGTAAATGTGTGTATGAGTATACACGCTTAAAATTATTTTTCATCCTCTAATAGCTGTCAGTGTTTCCATATATGCATATACAGCCATATATATTTATATATTTGCGTTTACCTGTGTATATGCTTTTTTTTCTTTTCTTTTTTTTTTAATGGCTCTGAACAAATCACTGCATTACGGATCTTTACACAGCTGTGTGCATTGCCCCATAGACAACAATGAACTTGTTTTCAGATCTGTAAAAAAATGCTTCATAACCACTTCAATACCGGGCACTTTTACCCCCTTCCTGCCCAGGCCAATTTTCAGGTTTCAGCGCTGTCGCACTTTGAATGACAATTGCACAATCATGTAACACTGTACCCATATGAAATTTTTATTATTTTTTTCACATGAATAGTGCTTTCTTTTGGTGGTATTTAATCACCACTGAGTTTTTTTATTTTTTGCTAAATAAAACAAAAAACACCGGAAACACCTGAAAAACACACTTTTCTTCTTTTCTGTTATAAAATTTTGCAAATAAATAACATTTCTTCATAAATTTAGGTCAAAATGTATTCTGCTACATTTCTTTGGGGAAAATAATAATAATTGAATTTGTATTTTTTTTCAAATGTTTCTATTGTTTTTTTGTTTTTTTTTTTATTCATTTTTTTTTTACTATTTTATTTTTCAGCACACTGTGACCAAAGCAATACAATGCTACCATAGTAACATTGAACTACTCTGGGCAAGTGATCAGGATTTTTTTTCTTTTTTAACACATTATGATTGCTAATACCAATGTATTTTATTGATATTTGCAATCATTGTTACTGAATGAAACTAATTAATTCAGTCTTTTGTGATTAGTTGTGACTTGACAAAGCTGATCACATGATACAGATGGGCTGTGATTGGCCCTGTCTGTATCATATGACTGCCTTGACCAGTCACAGCTAACAACATAATTGTATACAATGGATGGACATGACAGAAAACCATCCATTGTATACAATTGACATGTGATCTGCTGCGATTGGTCACAGTGGTCACATGACACTGGAAACAGGCCGGTGTACTGATAAGTCATCAGCTGTGTCCCGTGGACACAGCCGGTGACAGATCGTGCCACTGCGTGACCCCATGGCCGCGTGAACAGCTCATTTTGACAGGATGTCATATGACGCCCAGTCACAACGGCGAGTGTCCCGCCCAGCCGTCAATTTGCTATAGGCCAGTGATAAACACAAAGGCGCTTCTTCTTTTTTTTTTTTTTAATGTGTAAAGCCTGAGCTTTACCCCAGGTTTCCAGGAAGGAGCAAGTTCTTTGCACAGGGGATGAGTAGGAATTAGCTTGGGACCCAGGTTAGAAGCAGCAGAGACTCACGCTAGCCATACACTAGTTGAAAAATCGTCTGAATGCATTTTCAAAAAACAAACACATGGTCATGAGAGAAAGCGACATTGCCATCATGTATATAAAATGTGGTGCTGCGCAAATTTACAAATTTGGGTTGACCATTTTTTTTGGTATATGATTAGGTGTTAGCAGCTTTAGTCACAGGTTCACCTAAGCACAGGAGGACTTTGAATATTGCCATCATGTAATGACTGATTTTCAAACAAAAAATTGTCCAATGGACATAAATGAATCTGTTTTTCATTTGTTTTGTCACAGTATGAACAGTTTGATTTTTAAATGGCGAGAAACATATTATACAATTCTACAATGGTCTGTTTCTGCAGAGGTTTTCCAAACGTTTCCTTTGATTATTTTGGATCAAAAACGTTACTACCGATTTTCAATTTGTGCCCATTAACTGTACAAAAAACAAACGAAGTGTCCAAATGACAGATTTTTAAACAATTTTTCATCTAGTGTATGGGCACCATCAGCTGCAACAGAAACAATTTTGGACAGCACAGGTCAGCTCTGAAAACAGCAAATAGTGCCAAGCGCTTTGTCTTTATAATATGTCTTATATTCTATGTCTTTTTTCATTGCTTAAAGTAAAAATAAATAAATAAAAAAAATACTTTCAATATCATCCCTGGGGGGGGGGGGGGGGGGGGGTCCCCTTAAACTACCTGCAAAGTTGCACATCTGTACAATGTACTGTATAGAACCTGCTGCAGCAGGACTGACTTTTTTTTTTTATAATTACATTTATATTTAAAAAAAACAAAACAACGTGCCCCACCCAATCCATACCAAACCCTTTAGGTCTGGTACAGGGGCGGACTGAAAACTCATGGGGCCCCAGGGCAATAGGGGATCATGGGGCCCCTGTGTCCTTGCCCAAACTCAAAAAAGCCTATGAAAAAGGTACCAGGGGCATCTCATGAGGCCCCCTACTGACCCCGGGCCCTCGGGCAGTGCCCGAGTTTCCAAATGGTCAGTCCGCCCCTGGTCTGGTAGGAAGGTTAGGAGGGACCCCACAGTAGAAAAAAAATTTTTAACCACTTCCGCGCTGCCCATTAGCAGAAATACTGCTACAGGGTGGAAGGGGGGGGGCAAAATCACATATCGGTATATATCTACGTGAATTTGCAGCTCCGGGCAGGGGGGCACATGCCCGGCCCTACCCATGCTGCCATTTGTGGCCTCGGCTGTCAATCACCAGCCAGCACCTGGGGATCGCCGAGTATCTCCACCAGGGGAGAGACCTGTGTATAAACAACACAGATCTCTCCCCTGTCAGCTCCTGCACACTGCTTTGTATGGCTCTGCATAGCACAGCCATACAAAGCAGTGTATTTACAGTGAAACAAACACACAGCCCCATAGTGAAACAGCACACAGTTAATCCTTTGATCGCCCCAGATGTTAACCCCTTCCTGCCCAGTGCCATTAGTACAGTGTCAGTGCTTTTTATTAGCACTGATCACTGTATTGGTGTCACTGGGGATGTCAGTGACACCAAGTCAGTTCCCCCCAGTGGCAGAATGCCAGCCGCAGTCCCGCAGTCTCACTATAAGTCGCTGATCACCACCATTACTAGTAAAAAAAAATATTTTAAAATCCAGTATATACCACCATTTGTAAACGCTATAACTTTCACGTAAACCAATTAATTTACACGTATTGGAATTTTTTTTTAGCAAAGATGTAGTAGAATACATTTTGGCCTAAAGTTATGATGAAATTTGATTTTTTACATTTTTTTACTGCACATGTTTAATAGCAAAAAGTCAAAAATATAGTTTTTTACTCCAAATTGTAGGTCTTTTTTTGTTTATAGAGCAAAAAATACAAAAGCACAAAGGCATTCGAATACCACCAAAAGAAAGCTCAATTTGTGGGAAAAAAAGGACGTAAATTACACTTGGGTGCAGCGTTGCATGACCGTGCAGTTGTCAGTTAAAGTAACGCAGAGCCATATAGCAAAAAATGGCCTGTTCAGGAAGGGGGGTAAATCCTCTAAAGGGCAAGTAGTAAACGTCCGTGGGGTTCCCCATAACTGCTATACTAGGCCCTTTAGGCCTGGTAGGACTTTTAAGGGTAACCCCACCCCCAAAAAATGGGGGGGAATGTGCGTGGGGTTCCCCCATAAGCCCTACCAGGCCCTTTAGCCCTGGTAAGACTTTTAAGGGGAACTCCATCCCCCAAAAATGGGGGAAAAAAAAGCAAGGGCTTCCCCCTAAATTCCTACCAGATCCCTGATCCAAGCACAGACATGGCAGGCCAGGAAAGGGGGAGATGAATGAGCACACCCCCCTGTGCCTTACTAGACCTTGTGCCCTTGGTATTGGGACAGTGTCTCCATGCTAATGGGGACAAGGGCCTCTTCCCCGCAACCCTTGCCCGGTGGTTGTGGGGATCTGTAAGCAGGAGGGCTCATTAGCATCAGGGTACCCCTTTAAATAAGGGGTCACCCTGATGCTGCCCCCCCCCCCCCCCCCCAATTCACTAAAGGGTAACAACTGAGAAAAAATAACTGACCAGACTTGAAAAATTCCTTTATTGAACAAAAAATGTTTTTGACAAGTCCGTTATTTTAGAAAAAGCCCCCCAAAAAACGGTTCCAGCGTTGTAGTCCAATCACGGTGTCCAGTGATTGCATCGATGCTGACTTACATTTGGCTTGAACATCCAGACCAGCCCTAATTATCGAGAATACAATTTAATCAAACTCTAAGATAATTGTTCATAAGGGACTGTGATGGGAGTCACTTTGTGTGGGGGGCCCATGGAACAGAGCTCACTTTGGAGGGGTGGGGAGACCCCTTCCTCAGCTCCCCATATCCCTCTTATGTGCAAGTCACCCTGTGCCTGTTAGAGGTACAGGGTGGAATGTCCTGATATTGTGTAGACATGTATAGGTGGGGTGTGGGGGTTGTTCATTGTTTACTGCCATGTGGTGCATCCCATTGTTCTATTGTGTGTCCCCCTTGGGAGCAAACTATTATGGGATGTATGTGTTTGTGTATTGGCTTGGTGGGGGGTGTCTGCTGATGTGTCTCTGGTTGCTAGATTTGGTTTGCCCCGCCCTGTGTCCATAT